GGTCATGGAACAACTGAGTGGTTCAAAATTGGGAAAGGAGTACGACAAGGCATTATATTGTCTCCCCACTTATTTAACTTCTATGCAGAATACAGTACATCATGCAAAAGGCCGGACTGGATGAATCCCAAACCGGAATTAAGTTTGTCGGAAGAAATATCAACAACCTCAGATATGCAGATTATACCACTCTGATGACAGAAAGTGAGAAGGAATTCAGGAACCTCTTAATGAGGGTGAAAGAGGAGAGCACAAAAATGGTCTGAAGCTCAACATTTAAAAAAACTGGTCCCACCACCTCCTGGCAAATAAAAGGGGAAGATATGGAGGCAGTGGCAGTTTTTACCTTCTTGGGCTCCATGATCACTGCAGATGGAGACAGCAGCCCTGAAATTAAAAGGCGCCTTCTTCTTGGGAGGAAAGCGATGACAAACCTTGACAGCATCTTAAAAAGCAGAGATATCACCTTGCCAACAAAAGTCCGAATAGTCAAAGCTATGGTTTTTCCTGTAGTGATGTATGGAAGTGAGAGCTGGACCATAAAGAAAGCAGACCGCCGAAGAATTGATGCCTTTGAATTGTGGTGCTGGAGGAGGCTCTTGAGAATCCCCTGGACTGCAAGGAGAACAAACCTATCCATTTTGAAGGAAATCAACCCTGAGTGCTCACTGGAAGGACAGATCCTGAAGCTGAGGCTCCAATACTTTGGCGATCTCATGAAAAGAGAAGACTCCTTGGAAAAGCCCCTGATGTTTGGAAAGTGTGAAGGCAAGAGAAGGGGACGACAGAGGACGAGATGGTTGAACAGCGTCACCAAAGCTTCCAACATGAATTTGACCAAACTCTGGGAGGCAGTGGAAGACAGGAGGGGGGCCTGGCGTGCTCTGGTCCATGGGGTCACGAAGAGTCAGACACGATTTAACGACTAAACGACAACAATATTGTTCAACAAGACATTATTTTAACAAACATATATTACATCCAAATCTCACATATATATTTCTTTTTTACAGAATACAAATAAAGCAAAAGAAGGAACAACATTAAATGCATACTAATATACATTTAATGCAAACCAGTCAAATCTAAATGCCAGTTTATGCTGATCCAACCCAATTTCATTGAAATGGAATTTGCACAGTATTTGTGGCATGTTGAATTCTACCTAAAAAAGAGACTGTACTATAAAAGCATGCAGATATTAAAGAACTAGAGACCAGATTGCTAACATGCACTGGATTATAGAGAAAGCCAGAGAGTTCCAGAAAAACATGTACTTATGCTTCATTGATTATGCAAAAGCCTTTGACTGTGTGGACCACAGCAAATTATGGCAAGTCCTTAAAGAAATGGGCGTCCCTGACCACCTTATCCATCTCCTGAGAAACCTGTATGTGCGACAGGAAGCAAAAGTTAGAACTAGATATGGAACAACGGAATGGTATAAAATTGGGAAAGGAGTGTGACAAACCCAGACCTACTGGGATATGTCACACAGTTACACTAAGCTGCCACCAACCATTCCCTTTAAGAAGTCACACAGACCAGGGATGGATTTTTAAACAATAAAAAGAATAAGGTTTATTTTAAATACACACAGGGAAAAATAAACAATCAGGTGAATATGATAAAGTAACGTGGCTTACTCTCACTCATACATGCATACAGTTTGGTTCACACAGAACCCTTAACTTGAAGCACAGACCCTGAACCTATCAGTTCTGGCTAACCAACAGACACCTGAACCTATCAGGTTGGTACTCTGACACACAGTAGTACCCTGTCTGACACCCAGACTCCCACACCAGCTTCTTCTTCCCAGCTGCTGCTTCGTCACATCCCAATGTCTCTCAGTATATCTCCCAGTGTCAGTCTCACCACACAGGCATCACATATATACAGTACAGCCCCTCCTCCTGATGTCCCGCCTTCCACTCCCCATAGGATGGAACTTTCCCTCCAAACCCATGACAGACAGGTAACATCAGTGCTGTATGTAACAAGGAGTACAACAAGGCTGCATATTGTTCCCCTGCTTATTCAACTTATATGCAGAATACATCATGCGAAAAGCTGGACTGGAGGAATCCCAAGCCGGAATTAAAACTGCTGGAAGAAATATCAACAACTTCAGATATGCAGATGATGAGGGTGAAAGAGGAGAGTGCAAAAAACGGTCTGAAGCTCAACATCAAAAAAACTAAGATCATGCCCATCACCTCCTGGGAAATAGAAGGGGAAGATATGGAGGCAGTGACAGATTTTACATTCTTGGGATCCATGATCACTGCAGATGCAGACAGCAGCCACGAAATTAAAAGACGCCTGCTTCTTGGGAGGAAAGCGATGACAAACCTTGACAGCATCTTAAAAAGCAGAGACATCACCTTGCCAGCAAAAGTCTGAATAGTCAAAGCTATGGTTTTCCCTGTAGTGATGTATGGAAGTGAGAGCTGGACCATAAAGAAAGCAGACTGCCGAAGAATTGATGCTTTTGAATTGTGGTGCTGGAGGAGACTCTTGAGAGTCTCCTGGACTGCAAGGAGAACAAACCTATCAATTCTAATGGAAATCAAACCTGAGTGCTCACTGGAAGGACAGATCCTGAAGCTGAGGCTCCAATACTTTGGCCATCTCATGAAAAGAGAAGACTCCTTGGAAAAGACCTTGATGTTAGGAAAGTGTGAAGGCAAGAGGAGAAGGGGACGACAGAGGATGAGATAGTTGGACAGTGTCATTGAAGCAACCAACATGAATTTGACTGAACTCTGGGAGGCAGTGGAAGATAGGAGGGCCTGGCGTGCTCTGGTCCATGAGGTCATGAAGAGTCGGGCATGACTAAACGATAGTTAAAGAAGCTAAACATTTAAAGAGAACTACTTTTGATTTCAATGAATATTTAAGCTCAGATAAAAGTATTGCTCATTTTGTAAGAATAGAGTTATGCTGCCTACAATGGAATTGTATTACATCAGATTCTATTTTGATCATGAAGTTTTATAAATGTTTTCATTGGCCAGGATCCAAAGTACTACTCCAGAAATGTCTAAAAGTCCAGTGGAATGTCGGACCAGTCCTTCTTTAAAATAACACACTTCTCTTGGTTGTTGTGGGTTTTTCGGGCTCTTAGGCCATGTTCTGAAGGTTGTTCTTCCTAACGTTTCGCGAGTCTCTGTGGCCAGCATCTTCAGAGCCCGAAAAACCCACAACAACCATTAGATCCCGGCTGTGAAAGCCTTCACGAATACAACACACTTCTCTCTCCACCCATAGCATATAGTAAATTTCTTTTTGAACTTTCTTAAGTGTGAAAAGATGTTGTTTATTTCTCCCTTGGGAATGTAAAATTAGTCATATAGTTCTCAGATCCAAGCTACTAAATGTAATCAAATATTTGGATTCACTTTGCAAGTGAATCCAAACATTCGACCAAACTGAACCCTAGGAAAACATTCCACTTCAGTAATATGGTAGTGTTTATCTGGCTAACCATGGTTCTAAAATCTGAGATCCCTAATAATTAACTCTGGTGCTTGCTTCAAACCAAGCTAATTTGCATGGGGCTGTAAGGGATCAAGACTATCTGAATTAGGCACATAACAACTGCTATGTCATTATGCTCATTGCTTCCCCCAAAAATGCCACTGTTGATGGAGAGCAAGAAGTCCTGTATGTCTCAGGAACAGTTTAATTTTACGCTTGTGATTTGTGACAGATTTATTTATTTATTTATTTATTTATTGGATTTATAACCCGCCCCTCTAGACCATGTCTCCTCGGGGCTGCTTACATAAATAAAACAGAACAATATAAAATATATAAAATCAAAAATTACAATTAAAACAGTTAATTAGAAGATCTATGAACAGAATTTTTTTTAAAGGGAGAAGGAATGTTACTATGAATCAGTAGCCATTAACATGCAAAGTTTCAAGTCTTATGGATCAAAGCACTCGGAGTAAAGCTGAAGGAATTACATGCAACATTTCAGGATGTTTTGCACATTTTCCTATTGTTTTGAAGGTGACTAGGGCAGCAAAAATCAGGGGGAGGGGATAATCTGAACTGTTGCTCAGACAACAGTTTGATGGCCTCAAAGTCATCGTTCTTTAGAGATACATCTAAAATCACCTATTTACAGAACATTTAGGATTATATTTTGATTTTCTCTTATCACTCTTTACAAGTTCTAGGTCACTTCATTCTCATAAAAATCCTCTAAAGTAATAATTAATTAATACTTCTTCCAAGACAACCCCCTCTACAATGGCTTTTTTTGATCCGTACAGCGATGTTTTCGCATAGCGAAGGTTAATCCGGAACGGATTAACCTCGCTATGCGAGGCACCACTGTATATTATGTATGTATCTAATTCTGCACATAACAGAAAGTAATATAAATAGCCAATGATTAAGTATCATAACCACTGCCCAAATAAGTTAATCTAATTGCCCGAAATTCAGCACACAGTTGGCATGAAAAAAAATTTATTTGGCGGAAGCAACCAAATTTGCCAATAAAATACAGTTGTTCCAAAACAATCCAAAGAGGGCCAAAACTGACATAAACATTCAACTTAATTGAGAAGAACTTCAAAATCTTGTACCCTACTTCACTACTTTAGCTACACAAAAAACATTAAAATGCTTGACAGGCTGAGCAAGGAAACTTGGAAATATCATATACAGTACTATCACAAAGCATGCAGGCTGGCTAACAGCCAAGCATAATGATTAGAACATTCCACTGTACAACATTCAAGACTGCAATATGTGCTATGAAATAGCTCCTAAAGTAAACGGCCTAAGTTAATCCAAATCTTATTTTTTTAAAAAAATATTGTTCTCTTCTGAGTTTCTGGGGCAACCAACAGAAGGCATCTATGTGGTAACAGAGAACGTACAGCCTAGCATCAACTCTCATGTACCTAAATAATTAAACAAAAAGGATACTATCTTTTGATAAGTTAGCAGAATAAGAAAGAAATTATCACTGCTACCTTTGTGTGTTGGAACCGGTCTGTCATGTCCATCCATTTGGTTTAAAGGATCATCAGGATCAGGTATCTCCATTTCACCTAAACAAAACAATTAGATATTTAATTTTAGTTCTTCTGCTTAGTTCCCCCTCTACAAACATACACATATTATTTTGGCCTGAAAATCTGCTTGGCTACAAAAGCCTGTATTAAAGCCAGTGTGGTGTTATGGTTAGAGTGTCACATTAAGACTTGAGAGATCTGGATTCGAATCTTCACTGTGTTGTGAAGCCAACATAGTGACTTCGGGCCAGCTGGTTTCTCTCAGCTGCACTCACTCACAAGGTTGTTGGGATGATAAAATGGTGAGAAGGAGAGCCATGGTCTTCTGTACAAACAGTGGCATGTAATAGAAGAAATACACTATAAGCTTTCATTGCTTGCTTGAACTTAATTTTAAAAAGGCAACCATATCTCTTTCCACATGAGAGCAATTAAATAAGAAATGTAAAATTAGATGCATCTTATGAGAAATATATCATTTACAATTTACATTTCATTGTGAAATTTATTTTAATTTTCTTCAACTTTAAAATTTCCTTTGAACGGACACCCCCCACCCCCGCAATCACACTTCATTGTCTTTAAAATCATCCCTTGTAGAGCAGGGATGGTAGCATCTGGTCCCCAGTATAGATGCACTACTTTCCCCTTCATCTGTCACTATGGTTCATGCAGGGTTGGACTGATAGGAATCAGACTTCAATTATATCTGGAGGTACACAGGTTCCCCAATCTTGTCCAGAGGTTGAGGTGTTTTTTGTTTGTTTGTTTTTTGCTGTTGCTGCTGTTTGTGGTTCTTTATAACTTTTTTCATAACCCATGATGGCCTAAGTAAGCGCTTTGCCCTGTGTTAACAAACACCATTCTTTTCTTGGCTGGCATAGTGTCTTACTTGGATATTGCAGCTGTACACCTGATCAATGATACTACTCCAGCAATGATAATTACACAGCAAGGTTTCTCAAAAACTGGGTAATTCTTTACTGCTACAGTTGTAAACATTTTGACAGTTATAGCCTCATCTATGCATATTTGCTGCATGAAGTGTGTATAAACATAGTCGAAGAACCTCATCTTTGAAAACCAATTTCAACCCCTTGTAAAATATCAGCGAATGAATAGACTGGAATCTTTGTATGAGCAACTGCTGTCTGAAGTGCCATAACCCATTCTCCAAACTAATACACAAAAAGCTTGATATTTCTTCTTTACATGACTATTCACTAACAAAAACCAGGCTACTTCTGCAATATGCACCTGGTAAAATGGTATTGTTTCCTTTGCAATATCTTTGCCTACTAATATTTTCCTTCCTTTAAACACATACATCTGAGCTGTCCTTCTTCCTCATCTCTGAAAGGAAGTGGAATCATACAATCTTGCTGTAAGAGGAAAAGAATACAGTGACAGGCGGAGCCAGGATTAAATTGTCCCACAATTTTATTCTAGAAAAGGGCTTAGAAAACGAAGTCAACCATGAAAAATATGTCTGCAGTGTGTACATAAATGATCCGGCACGCACATAGGGATAGAAGAAAAAGGACTCCTAATATTCCGCACGCCCCCCCCCAATCTTCATCTATTTGGGAATAACATTTACACTGGGGTGGGCAATCTTTTTTTTCCCCCTCTGCCCTTGGGTCCCCAGATATTATTGGCGTAAAACCCCCAGAAGCCTTCACCACTCGCTGTTCTGGCCAAGATTTCTGGGAGATGTAGCCCAAGAACATCTGGGGACCTAAGGCAGAGAACCACTGTCCGAGAGGGTAATTCCCCCCCCCCTCAAGTTGAAGAACTGAAGGAGTTGAGGGCTCTTAAAAAGGGAAGAATTGTCCACCCACTCTCCCTAGATAGCGCAAGGCTTTCTTGTTATGATCACCAGTTTTGACTATCTGGTTTACACTATCTGAGCAAGAGGTAAAAAGGGGAAAACTTTTGTACTCCCTGTTTCTCAAATTTTTGTGCAGTTTTATATTGGACTGCAACCTCTTTGTAGATGTCATCATCAAAATCCCAAAAGACTTTCTGGTTATGAGCTGTATGCATAAAATCTAAGGACAGTTGTGCCATGAGATAATCTATATCTCAAGAGAAAGCACAGTGACTAGTTTTAAAAGCATCACTTATACTATTTCGCTATTGTCTTTTAAAACACAAGAAAGAAAAAGAATGCTATCTTGTTGCTATTACTATCACTCGTGTTGAGCACTGAGCTCTGCCAGGAGATGCAGGGGAATACTGCTTAAGAACATGAAATGTGACTGGTAGCACTGCTCCTTAGGTCTTTCAGTTTTATATGTCACATACTTTCTCTTTCGACTAGGGAAAAGTGACATTTAGAAAATCATCTGAAATGGAAAAAATAGTTTTATTTTTAGGAATGTTTGTACTAGAAAACATATACAGATTTAAGTCAAATTAAGACTTGTTGCTGTTACATGCCCTTAAGTCAGAATCAACTTATAGCAACCTAATGACATTTTCAAGGCAAGTTTGATATTTGAGGAGTGGTTTTACCAGTTCCACACCCCCACTGAGTTTCCATGGATGAGCAGGGCTTTGAACCCAGGCCTTCTTAGTCCTGGTGTGTCACTCTCTCCACTACACCACACTGAATATTCAGAATAGACTCACGGAAACCAATGGGGCTTAGATTAGTCTTAAGCTGAGGTTCCAGTGATTTCAATAGGTCTGATCAAGTGTGACCTAGTCTGGATTCAACCACAGAACACCATACATACATCCTCAAATAATTAGGGCACTTAAATATGTTTGTTGTTTGGAGAAAATTCAACTTGCTTTTCTGTGTCTTCAAATTCTTCAGTTGTTTAGTAAAATCCTAGAGACAAGTCAACAGATAACCAGATCTCTCCTTCCCCAGCTCCCACTCTCCTACATTCCTAACTGAAGTTTAAGTCCTTAAATCAAAAAGAAACAAAGGGTTTGCACTTAAAAAAAAATCTAATAATAGCTTTGTACAAGACTTTCTTGTACTCCGTATGCTCAATTCAGGCAAAACATCTGCCTCCAAATGTGTCTTATCGGTGGATAATTACAAGCCAGGGAAAGTTTCAAACAAAACAGCAACACATCTTTATGAATAAACTACATTAAATGTGAAAGATTCTCTTTGCATCGTGTGAATTATAAATGCACAAACAGGCATGTCATATCACTTCTTAATTTTAGGCTAGACATCTTCCAAATCAGTTCAACACCAGACTGTGCTGTACATACTATCGACCATTGCTTTATATGTGTCTATACATCTGCAAAGCTGTCTCTAAGTAACGTGTTTCAAGGTGGGTAGAGGAGGAATCCTTTCAAATCAGTACTGCAGAAATGGAAATTCTTAAAGATGCTTTTTTTTTAAAAAAAAGCCAGTAATTCTTTCTCCTCATTGCTGGCCTGTTCTTTTTTCATAACAAAAGGAACTAGTACATCCAGTTCGTCTCTCGTTTATAATCTGTACTTTTTTCACAAAGCTTTTCAATCCAACACTCACAATTATTTTTTTCTTGCCAGATGTTGATTGCAACACAAATGGATGCTACATTCACAGGCCCTCACAGAACTGGCACTTGCTTGCAGAGGTCCAAACAATCCTATACCAGTTTACAGCTTACACTGTACCACATCATGGATTAATCCAAAAGTCTGGCCAAGATCTAAAATTCCACATTCTCAACTTCTGTGGCAAGACAATCAGCACTGCCATTGCAACCATGAGCTGACTGATATCCTAATCTAGTGGGTACATATAAAATGCTATTAGACTATCGGTCAAGTTCTCTGGCCATGAAATGTTATCCTAGTGCTACAGAATGAGAAACATATTGTTTAATATTGGCTTGTATAAGGAAAAACAGTATGAGATTTTCCTTCCTTGAAAAGTAAAAGAGTAAGTATGGCTTTAACGAAAATACCTAGATCCAAACTCTTTGGCCCAAGCTGGGAAATAATGTGCAAGTCTTTTACTAAATTCATGTAACCCTGTCTCTCCTCCTGTGTAACACACCCCAGTTTGATCTGGAAATCTACTACATATGGCATATGTTTTGTACTAGCTGAGAAATTATGTTTACCAAGTTCAAAACTTAGCCTTGTGTAATAACTGTCTGAATATAGCTTATGTCTCTGACTCACAAACTACAAAATACTGTATATGTGCAAAAGAGAAAATTAATATACAATGAAGTCTTGCATGTCTAGTAAACTGTGGCATTTTTCTCAAGTAGATCAGTATTTTGGGCACTGTATCCAAATATAAATGTGACTGCTACCACCAGCTCATTCTCACAGCCATATAGGCAACTGATGCACATTCAACAGTTTTAAGTTTCAGGTCCATATTTTAAAGTAATCTTCCTCACTCTGGTGTCCTCCAGTTTGTTAGACTATAACTCCCATCATCCTCAGCCAGTATGGCCATTGCTTGGGTCTTCTGGGAATGATGGAAACTGTAGGCCAATGTATCTGGAAAGAATGAAGCTATTTTGTATCATATGAGCTATTATAAAGCTCGCTTATCAATACAGTGGTGCTCCGCTTGACGATGATAATCCATTCCAGGAAAATCGTTGTTAAGCGAAATCGTCGTCAAGCAAAAACAAAAAAATGGAATGCATTGAAAACCAGTTAATGCGTTCCAATGGGGAAATACCTCATTGTCCAGCGAAGATCACCTATAGAAAAGTGCTGATCAGCTGTTTAAAATCGCTGTCTTCAGAAGCAGGGGTCTGGAAAACAGCCATTTTGCGAAGGGAGGGAAGCCATTTTATGAAGGGAAGCCATTTTGCGGAGCCGGAAAAATCGTCGTTTAGTGAACAAACCAAGCAGGCTCCTAATCAGTGTCAAGCGAAATCCCATTGGAACAAAAAAAAAACTCATTGTAAAGCGATTTCTTCATCTAATGGGGTCATCGTCAAGCGGGGCACCACTGTATCTGGAGCTAAGCTAAAATATTCCATTACCAAATTCTTATAAATAATGTCAACAGATAAATATGCCAATCTTGCCAGTGGGATTCCGGACTT